TTGAAGATACTTTGAGTCCAAGCAAGGAAATTTCCTTAAACATTCTGTTTGATCATATTGTCCAACAGTTTTCAAGCACATTTGATACTGTTCTATTAAGAGGTATATTAAAACATAGAGAATTCTTGATTGTTACAAAGACTGAAGGGAATCCATAGTTAAAGACTGAATGTGTTCCCACCTAATTTTGTATTTTGAAATCATAATTCCAGAGGTAATAGCAGAAAGAGGTGGGGCCTTTGGAGGTAAGTAGGTCACACGGGCAGAGCCATCAGGAATGATTACTGTCCTTACAAAAGAAACCCTGAAAAGCTCTTACCCTCTTTTCACCATGAGAGGATCCAAGAAGTCAGAAGTCTGCAGCCCCAAAATCTGACCCTCACCAAAACCCAACTATGCTAGTAGTCTGACCTCAAATATCTAGCTTCCAGAACTGTAAGAAATGTCTGCTATTTATAAGACCCCTAGTCTTTGACAGTTTGTTATACAGAATGAACTAAGACAGCCATAGATATTAAATGTCTTTTGATAAAAGAGAAAACAAAATATGTCCCCAAAGGTGCCAAAATCCCTCTAGATGAGAAACAATGTCACATAAGTTTGCTTACTACAGAATGAACCTTTGACATATTTGAGAACTGATTAGAACTTTCGATTCCAGAACACTGGAAAGTGTATTTTCAAATAGGGTAAATATCATCGTATTTAATTTCCTAAGAAGTTATCAAATATATGTCTTTTAGATTTACCGTTCTTTTGTATCTCCCTTTCCAGCTCCTCTCTTCTCTCTTTCTGCTTCCTGGATACCATCACATACTTAAGCAGCTGTTACTCTGCTATGCCCCTCTGCTACACCTTCCTGCCTAGCAGTCAGTGACAACGGACTCAAACCATGAGCCAAAATAAACCTCCCATTTAAGTTGTAGGTGTCAGGTATTGGATCTCAATGAAGAAAAAAAATGACAGCACACATACTAAGTTTGTTTAGCTAAAAGTTATTTTGATGTCAAGTATTACCAAAATATTGATTTCTATAACTGATACACATAGACATTTTGTGGAACTACCCAGACTACACAAAAACTTAAAAAAAAACAAAATCTTCACACCAGCATCTTGGAAATATCCCCCAAATAATCTGTAGGAGTTTCACAAACTTCTGTGGGATCTCAACGAATATTAATGAAATATTTGAAAGAGTCTGGCATTAGGTCAGGAAAATTATTTCCAAAAATCAAAACTGCTAGTTGTGTGTTGAAGATATGCCTAGTTCACCCCAGCACATAGAGTCCACTTCTAGCTGAACTAGTTGTATTAAATTTAAGTTCAGTGTAAGTTGTGGCTAGTGTTTTCTAGTATTCTTGATTAACACAACTCTCATGTGAATGCACACAGCCTTCCCACTTGCTTACCAGTTGCCAAATATGTGTGATACATTTTTTTGTTGTTTTGACAATGGTCCACATGATGTTATTCTCGCATTGTGATTATAAGTGACTGGCATTCCCAAGTACATAGATTGGGCCTCTAGGTTCACCATTAAATGGTACAAGTGAGAAAGGAAGCTTTCTTTGCACATTTAAAAAGAAAACATTCTATTACTAAGAATTAAGTGTGTGGTTATTTCTCAACAATTTCATAATCATTTTGATACAAACAGTTTTAAGAAACTCTGACAAACTAGGATGATCTCTCAGAGTGAGTCCACTTAGTGGTTTATTTTGCAATTTAACACTGTTATGTCATCCAACCGTGGGACTTAGGATTGGAAGAGTTCCCAAATGCCTGTTAAGAAGAATTAGTGATATGATAACCTAAAAGCCCTAAGGCCAAATCCTCAACACCTAACACTAGCTACTACCTATTGAGTTATTTCTACTCACGTGCCAGGCACAGTGCTACTTTACAGAAACTATATCAATCTTTACAACCAATACATAAAATTGGTTTTCTTGTTTATACAGATGAGAAACCAAAACAAGGAGGTTGACCAACCCAACCTGTAAAGACAGAGCCAGTACTGTAAGTGAAATGTAAGTCAGCACCCATGAATGGTTCATTTCCCTGACGTGAATAAATTTCTTATTGAAGTTTATAGTGCATATGAAAATTCTCTAATCTGTCAGCCCAAAGAGAGAGATACCTGTGTAATTCACACAGTGAGTCTGACAGACTAGATGACTACATGTAGGAATCCTGTAAAGGAAGGAATTCTCACAAGAGCCTCGATTATCCCATCCTCTGGGCACAGTCCATGCAGGATTTCCTGCCAGATTCAAAGCCAAAAGCAGCAGAGGCCTCGGCTTATTCCTTATTTCCTTCTCTTTCCCTCCATTTCTGCCTCCCTCCCTCTTCCCTTCCTTCAATCTTTCTATAATTAGTTGTTTATTACTACCCTACTCCAGGCACTGCCTTAGGTAAGGAAGAGCACAAGTCTTCGCACTTCTTTAGCTTTCTGAAAGCCTGAAGCTGTACTGCACAGTCAGTGAAGCTAGAGGGGCTGCTGGGGTGCTTGCCTCAGCTCCACCACTTACTGTGGTCTGAGAATGATTTATCCCCACCAAGACTCTTGTTCAGACTCTATCCCTTGACAAAATGTTGTTGAGGCTGTGGTATCTTTATGAGGCATTGTGAAGTTGGCCCTCATGACAAAAGCCCATACTCCTAGTGTTGTGAAAGGCTGAGGCAGGAGGATGAAGGATGGGGATAGAGCTCAGTGGGAAGACCCTGGGTTTATTCCCCATTCCAAAAAGGAAAAGAAGAAAAAACATGCACTGTGGGCCATGAGGGCGTCACCCTCATAATGTATCTCGCAAGAGTGAGTTGGATCATAAAGGACTGGATTAGAACCTACAATGCACAGACTGTTAAAAACAGAGCCACCTCACTGATTGGCCCTTTTGTTTGCACACACTTCCCTTCTACTTCTCCATCATTGTGATAATCCATTATCCAGCACCAGGAATTCTGTTATACTAACACAAACCAGACTAAGACACGAGCTATGTCAGTACTGTAAGTCATATAACTGAGCCTAAGTTCTTTTCCTGCAAATATGAATATGAACAGACTTGCCCCACATGTTTTTTATGTGCTACAGAAAGAAATAGTATAAAGTCTGCAACACAGTGAGCATTTTAAACATGTCGAAGTTATTATACTCAGGCTTCTAGGATTGCGTGTCTGTTCAAAGTGTAGAAACAATTGAAATTTATCTTCTTTTGAAAACTGGAAATCAATTCACTCGGCAAAGATAATCTTCAAGGAAGGACTATGGTCTCCTTAGAGCAAGGAGAAATCTTGCATTATCTGCTCATACAGGGTCACCTGCAACAGACAAATATATGAGGCTGAACACACAGGTTTGAGACTAGTTATGCTTCTCAAATGTGCCTTTTGGGAGATCTTAGAGACTTTTTTTTTTTTTCACTTTCTGAACTCTCTTCAGGTTTTTGGAAGAATTGAATAGCAAACAGGATAGGAGAAAGATTAACTTGGATGACTACATGTGAACTGCTTGAGAACAGAATTCAACCTCACTTAACTTGGTAACCCAGCAGGATGTCTGGAATGATAATGAATTCAGGGGCTCAAAAATAGCTAGTCTGTTCTAGGTGTTTTCCATATGCTTTATTCTCATAATGTTATATATATATCAGGGTGGATATCATCTCTCACATTTTATTGATAAAGAAAAAAAAAAGAAGCCAAGATAAATAATTTATTCAGTCTTACAAAAGTTCAGAAACAAATCTGAAGACCAGGCATTGGGCCTCACTATATCTATAGTTAATTCCCTTCTCCTTTATAAATATCTCTAAAAATGTTTGATGAATGAATTAAAAACAAATTCTGGAAATACCTTTTTATTTCAGCTCTATAATCCAAGAATATAACCCTGCACAAGGACATTTCTTTAGGTCACTGTGCCCTCTAAGAGCCTTCAAAACCAAAAACATAAACCAGATAATATAGTAAGTGCATGTTTAGACTAAATTGAGCATTTTTAGGACCTTGGAAACCAGTGTGAAGTTTTCAGATTCCAAATCACTATTAAAACACTACATAAGGAAAAAGAGCAGCATATTACTACAAACTGTTAATGTGAATCTCTGGAAAAAGTTTTTACTTTCTGAGTTTTATGCAAACACCAAGTTGCCTACAGTTAAAATCTTTCATGGAAATCACTCAGTCATCCTCTGAGATTGATTTAAATGTAATATGTTCCGATGCAGAAACTGGAACTAGGATTACTTGCCCAGGGCTAAATGAGTCACCTTGTCCAACCCTCAACTGCCCTCTGCAGCCCCCACCCAACTCTGATTTTAATGCCACATTCTCCCACATTCACTCTTAGTACTTGTGGTAGTTCCAATGACTAATCACATTTAAATTCACCTGTCTGTCAAAAGTTTGCAACCCAGTCTTGATTGGATTTAGCCTTGAACCCTGGAGGGCAAGGAAAGGGCATATATGAACCACAACTTCTTCCATGGTCTTTTTCACGGGAGAGTGCATCACTCAATACATGCTATTTTTATCCCTCTGCTGTGTCTCTTGGATTTGGGAAGGGAGGTGAACATGAAAGACTAGCTTTCCTATCGCCACTAGACAGAGCTTAATACAGTCAAATAAACACTTGTAGAGAAAAATACTCCTCGCTTCCTCTCCCATTGTGGGTGAGGGTATCAGTGTATTTCATTTTAATTTCTCATTTTATTCCCTTGCCCGTCCTATAAGGAAAGCGCCTTTCCCAAAGCGGCGCTTTCAGCTCGAGGATGCCGGGGAGAGGGATGCAGGAGGTGGCGCCGCCCGGTAGAGACAGCACGTGAGCGAGCTCGCTGGCTCCCAGCCTCCTGCGCCACCTGGCCCGGCCCGGTGCCCCCGGCGTG